CGGGGCCGGCGCGCGGCGCGGCGGGCGGGGCGATGGGCATGCTGGGAGTTGTAGTACAGCTGTGTGCCCAAACAGTGTCGCTACACTCTGGGAAGGTGGTGGTAGTGGTAGTGGCTGTTGTTATTGTTATTATTTTCATGCCTCAGAGGCTGAAAGGCCATAGGTGACACCTCTCCGATGGTTCGAGGAAGGATAAGTTCCTACATCCTACCTAGAAAAGCTTCATTGAGCATCATGAGTGCTTCCTAGGGATATCTGCAAATCCACAATCACCTAAGGGAGTAGGTGCACTTGCCCTGCAGAGTGCTGGTCACAAACTTGTATTTACTTTCCTATCACTCTTCACAGGCCATAATTAAAACCAAACAAAGCCCTTCAAAGCACATATTTCAGTGGTACTTACTACTGCCTCACGCACAAAAACAGAGATTCTGGAGACCAACAAAGACGGCTGTTTTTCTCAGAGTCTCCTAAGGCAAGAACTAATGCTGAAACACAGCTGTACCTGGCTGACAAACTCGACGTCCTTTATAACTTGAATTCTTTGAAGAGCAAAAAAGATACATGCTCTGTCAACATCCCTAAGTTCAACCTAAAAAAAACCCTCTCAAGTAGTTCCTTTATAACTTGAATTCTTTGAAGAGCAGAAAAGATACATGCTCTGTCAACATGTTACCTAAGTTCAACCTTAAAAAAAAACCTCTAAAGTAATTTGCTAACACTGTAGTATCTGGAACCCACTGGCTTGTGTCCAAGTCTCAAATTGCAGGAACTGAAAAAATGGTTCCTAAATAGAGATAGAGCTATCACTGACAGGTTCATCTTTGCTTCATGTTAGACGGCAATTACAGAAAAATTTCAGAAAAAAAGAAACAGTGAATCAGTTTGAGCAGTGTAATGAGCATAGCAGATGAAGAAATGATAGGTGGTTGCTACAAAGTGAAATCAATATGCCGTTTGAGTGTAACTCCCCACTAGTTTTGCTCTGTAGACACTACATTTCCATCTGAGAGATGAGATTTTATTCATGCTTGGAAACCACAGCAATGAAGTTGATAGCTCCAGCTTCTGAAAAACACACAGTTGAGTTTCATTTATACGCTGCTATCTCCTCCCCTTACTCCGTCCTTTAGACGCCATCTCCATGTTTCCTGTCTCTTACCCACTTCTCCCTGGTGTCCGTTGAGTCCTTTTCCACCGCGTTCAATCACCCTTGAATCTGCTGTCTTTTTCTCCCCGCTGTTTCTTTCCTAGCCAGCCCTCTTCCCTCCCAGGATGGCTTCAGGGTTTTGCAAGGGCGGTGCTACCTGACCCTAGCGGGAAGATGACAAAAGTGGTAGCAGAAGGCACAAAGGAGCAATTATAAAAGGCCACCGGCCCCCCTTTCCTGCATTGGCTTGGAGTGAGCAGTGCCATGTTTGCTGATTAAAAGTACATTGTAGATAAGCTGAGTAAAGAAAAAGGTCTAATGAATGTGAAAAGAATGCTATATGGATTTTTAATGTCCTTCTAAAAGGACTGATCTCAAAGGTATTTTAGTATGCAAGACTCTCCAACTGGGCAGTGAGAGACTAGCAACCCCGTCATTATTCCTGAAGTCGGCAGTGCAACTGGCATGGATGGTATCCTAACAAGGTGAGGGGACAAGGGGACAAGATCTAGATAATAGCCACCATCTAGAGTACATCTTAAATAATATAATTCCACAATGCAAGTAAGATCCGTATCTTGCTATCACTTATTAATTGCTAGGAAAAAGAATTACACCTGATGGGTGCAGCTGGAATTGTAAAGCTCAGCTTTAAGACAGTATCGCTTCCAGAGATAATTCTGCATTTACCTGGTCAAAGATACTATAATTATTTGCATGCTGAAAGATAGAGTGTCAATAAGCTCTGCAGCATGCAGAGTCCAGAAGAACAGTGATATGATCTCGTAATCTCTCTCAAGCTAATTAATGCTGCAAAGTTCAGATACACACACACATATATACACCACATTTGGATTTTATATGTGTGTGTGTGCTTGGTTTAATGTCTGTTTTTTTTCCTCTCATTTTCATGGTGATGTCTTATCTTTCTTCTGTCTTCCTGTGCTGAAAAACAAGAATCACCAAGGAACAAGGAAAGCTGAGAAGAAGCACATTTAAAATAAACACTTCACACACCTTGGCATAACTTCAGAGCTGGCGGAGTGGCAAGGTTATCCTCCCCTCTCTGATTTGATGGCTATTAGCTGGCCAAATACTTTCTGACCAAGCAATTTCATTGACAAAGTGACTCCAATTCCTTCCAGACGTATCTTTCTCTAGAAACGTCGCCTGAGGTGCCTGTGACATTGCTGACTGTTTCCAGCTGGATTCTCATCTGGTAGTACACAGCAAAGGCAGCACACAGTAAAGTAGCCAGGAGGCACCTACCACCTTTCCCTCTCACCCTCAGAGGCCTTGGGTCCCCTGAGTTCAGGAGAGACTTTGGGGATAGACATACAGGAAGAAGAGCTGCCTGTTCCAACCTTCTTCTAAATCACCATCCAGAAGCAGCAAGGGCAAGCTGTGACAGCTCTAGCAACAGCTTCTTCCTAATTCAGATGTGCTTTTATTTTCTTCCAAATAGAGGAAACAGTTTTCCAAAGCAAAACAGTACACAACCTAAAATCTTGTCCAACACCCTCTAGTGTAAAGATGCTATTATTGCATGGAAGATTTGGTATGTCATGGTGTGATTTTTTCCAGAGGAACGATGTAGAAACAGAAAAAAATCATAAGCTTGTGCAACACCCAGTATATATCCATAGGTCTTTCCCTGTTTAGCAAGGCATACAGGCTGTATTTAACTGTATTTAATTGTGAATACTCTAACAAAATTTAAGAACTTTAAGGTAATTTTGTGCTTACAGTTCCTGGGCTTGCTTGCACATTATTTATATTTTATTTGTGCATTATAGTTGCATATATTTTTGAAAAATATGAGCATAAGATGCTGACAAGAACAGAGAGGCCAGAAAATTACCCCTGTTGGACATTGAGCCTTTGAACAAGCAAGGGACTAGAGCTGATACAAGACTACTTTGTGGAAAACGGCTTTTCAAAAAGGAATCTCCTAATTCTTCCATCTTCCTGAAAATTCTTTCAAGAATACAAAACAGGATATTATTTGGGTTGGTGAGATTGCTGATGTGAGTATGTGGTTGTTCCATTTGCATTTTGCTACAGAGTTGCAAGCAAGTCCTCGGGTACCTCAAATTAACATAATGGCCTAGATTAACATAAGGGCACTCAAGTATGCTCATGCCCCTTGCTCCATTTCAGAATTTTTATGTCAGCAAATGAGCTGAGCAGCAAGTGAGCTGACCAGTATGGATAAAGAAAGAAAAGAGGCTGTTTCATAACTGAGACACAAAAGATGGAAGTCTTTGTAATTCTGCCTCTCCCATATAAATCATGACCTAAATGAAAGGTCCTGAGAAACTTTTAGTGATTTAGTGATACAAATACAATATTATACTAAGGACATTGTGAGCAGAATAAATCTTTTTCAGAGTGCAAGACAGGCAAAGGTTTCTTAGCTCCCACAGCCTTATAAAAAGGCAGAGCTCAATTGCCCAGAGCATTTTTTTCTGAAACAGAGTCTACTTGACAACTGCCTCTGTTGCTCATGAAATATGAGCAAATTTGTCTCATTCCTTGTTTCACTAATTTCTCCATTTTAATACATTTCTCTCGTCTTTTCCTTTTTTGCTGTTCTCTTTGTTCTTCCCTTTCCTCGTGCTTTGCCATTCTGCACTGTTTTCTCCTTCTGTTTCTTTCTTCCCACAATCTTTTGCTTTTCCTTGCACGAGTTTCTGTGTGACGTTTCCTCAGTCACTCTTTGTATGAGAAGGTGCATTTCATCTCTAACAAACAGTGACAGTAATCCGTCAATGTCCCCAAATGGCAATATGGTATAGAATATAAATGACTATGTACTTCTCCTATCTTTGATACGAATGATGTCTTTAGTGAGCCGGTGTCTTCTTGAGAATCTTCCAAGTTTTGCGAAAGGAGGGGATAAAGAAAAATCACATTATATGAAAATTATTCTGTGTGTTTTGAAAATTTAGTATATTTTCCCCCAGCAAATATCCAGTTTAAGGAATTCTTCCCTCAACTCTGCCTATGAGGCCAGCTTTATGATAAATGAAGCCCTACAATGTTACAAGCCACAGTCCCCGATGAAAGTCATACTGTTGTGGTGAGGGGGCTTCACATTCTTGTGGTCTGCCTGGTTATGAATTTCCTGCTAAGGCTGTTAGAAGACAGACACATCTCTGAGCACTGCTAGTTTAAATCCATGTCAGATATGTGGCTGCGCTGGGCTACTTAGTCACCAGACCTGTCTCGCTGCTGACATAAATTCCTTGACTGGTTAATAAATCAGCCTAAGTTGTCTCTGTGATTACCATGGGAGCTGACAAAAACTGTATAATCACCTTTGTGTTGTCAGAGAGTACAGATCCTACGTGCTAGCCACCAAAGCTCTCAGATTACGTATTTTTTCCAATAGAAAATACAGATTAATGCAAACTGATGTGTTCTGCCCTACTGTGGACCTACCCTTTTTTTATATGCCGCTTGATGAAATCACCATCTCTGTTTCCCTAGTCAAGCCTCTGGCATCTTCATGAGAAGTTCAAAGGGCAAAATTTGCTTTTCCTTTCAGAACTGCCGAGGAAAGGAAGCCTATTACACACTTATTGCTCTTCTGTCTTGCAGGATTCCCTCGTATGGGGATCCTGGTACGGTGGCTGGACAAAGAGGACTCCCTTGGAGCTTGGCTGGTTTTATCCAGAGGACTGAGGAGCAGGGAAACCAGGAGACAGGCCTGCTCATGTATGTGCTACAGGCTGCATGGGGGGGGAGAAGATGCAGGCTGGGGGACAGGGGTGGCCACCTTGGTAAAGAATAAATTCTGCAGGACCTTTCCTGCCTCTTTCCCAAGGTTAAACAGCATGTCTGAAGTCACCGTGAAGAATTATTTCTAAGGAAACTAATCCAGAAAGAATGATGCCCCGTTCTGTCTTATTTGATTCTCCTCTACCTGGCACCTTATACAATCACACATACACCTGTAAAATGAGTATCAGAATCATGAGAACTTTTCAACTAGTTAGCACACAGCAGAGCACAAGGTGCAGAACAGAGATGCTCCACCAGCTCTTGGCAGGTTTCACAGACAGGGATTTTATTTGTCAATAAATTTGTCTGAGTAACTCCCAATAACATGGTTGCACTACTGTTAGCCAAAGAGTGAATTTTCTGTTAAAAAAAATGCCTTTTCTAGGCAAGTCCAAACTCCAAGGAATAGTACAATGCACTGGATTATAATGCACGGTATTATAATGCAATAGACTGAAATCTGCTTGCAAGGGCAAGGAAGGTGAGCATCAGTTTTCACTTTGAATTATTCGCTGTGAATATAAGGAAATTACCTTTACAGCTTGGAAGCTAGTATTTTTCTGTAGATGACATGATTATCCAGATTTTTCTATGAAGCAAAGAAGGCATCTTGCTCATCTTTCCTGTGGAATCTGAATCATGAACTCTATTTCTTAGCAGAAAGCAAGTTTTAAGAAATATCCTCCAAGGATTACAGAGTGCTATGCATTGACCACACTCGGATCAGCACTTTTGTCTTCAGTATTTTACAGCTATGATTGTATTGGTGTTGTAAGGAAGCCAAAGCTGCAAAACCTTTGGCCAGGGCTCTGCTTGCTGTTTTTAAAAAATGTGCCATTTGTATTAGTCTTCCCATATAAATTTCTGTAACCCTCTGAAAATGAAAGAACATCCCTGAAAATAGTCAGTATGCTTAATTTTTTTTGAAGGAGAAACTGGGAAAGTAAAATGTTTTTATTGCTATAATCAAAGACAAATTACTGGCTTCCATACCCATGCTCTCAATTCCCATGAAAACCGTAAAACTCCAGGTGCTTTCCCTTGTTATTTATTGCTACAGAAGAAATTATTTTGTATTAGCTTCTTCCTAGCAGGAAGAAATATTAAAGTTATGTGGAGGAAGGAGCGAATGAAGGCACTGATTCATAATTTCAGAATGCAAAATTGGCATAAAATATAAAGCTGTTTAGCAGGCAGAGATAGCTCATTGTTCTGTTGGTTTCAGCATAGCATTCCTTTCTTTCTCTAACTCTTTTTGTATAAATTTTATGAATTTATTAAGAAAAAAAAAGTTCCTCGGAAATGGCACTGCTCTGGGCTTTACACCCCAACATTATGCAGGGAGTGGATCTTGGAGCATTCTAGAAGACCGCAGCCCTTTTTGAGAATCCTTGGAGTGATAAAAAGATTTTATATTTAATATGTATTCCTTTTCTGGAAGACAAATACTCATCCCTTGAGAAACAAAAAAAAAATAAAATAAATGTTCCTGTTTATTTCTAGGAGAGATCCACTGAGTGTGGATCAAAATGATAAAGTAACTACTGGCTCTGGAGAAAAAGGAAAATAAATTTGTCGTATTGCTACACTAACCTTGTAAGCAGTTAGACGCTTCCAGCAATGTTAATTTCATTTTCAGAATAAACTTTGCAGAAATAAAGTTTATAGGAAACTTGTATTACTGAACAAAGCGTGATTACTTCCTTCTGTTTTATAGTATATAGCAGATTAGAGCATGTTCCCTGCAGCTAAGACTATTTGTGGTGGGCAATTAAGACCCCTGGGCAGAACATCAAGCAGGGTGACATACCCTTTTGAAAGATCACAGCACTGATGGAGCGTTTAGAAATGTAGCAATAATGTCTGGGACTGAATTGTGTAGGTACTATAGGTCTGCAGGTGAAGCGACAAAGCACGTTTAAATTGAAGCAATCCTGTTACGCTGAAAAGACTCAAAGTGTGCACAACTTTTCTTTGGGTTGACAGGGGAGTAGAAAGATTTAATTATACTTCTCTCATTTTTTTTTGTAGTTGACTTTGAAGACCATGCTGGTTATTTGGTCTGCTGGTGTTTGCCTGCATTGATTCTCTACTGCTCCATTAAGGGAAAATTTCTACTATTTCCCAGTGACAGATTTGGGTAGTCTCTCGGGTACGGAGATAAAGTCTGGCCCTCCTTGTAACCGTGGTGGCAGCTCCAGCTCACATTTGTCTGCCAACAGCACAAGGACTGTCCAATCCCGAGGATTTGCTCAGAAAAGGATTGTTTGAACGTGTATTTTTAGATTCTGCTACATGTTTAAGTCATGCTCGGCAAATAAGGCATTGGAGGGATTTTCTAATGCGAGATGATTAGAAGAGCACAGTTTGCAAAGCCAAAGCTGGACGAAGGAACAATTCCTACCTAAAAATAGTGAGGACGCAAGAAGCTCAACGGCGGGAACTTCTGTGCGCGCGAAAAAGTGTAAAATATGCAACTATGCATGAACGGGCTGGAAAAGTGGCAATTCTGACCCCTGGAGCAGCTTTCCAGTGAGAACAGCGGGGACGCCAGCGGTGCGGTGGGCACGATGGCATTGAGGAATTCACGGGCAGGAGCAGTAGTGTGTGCAGGGCAACGAGGGCTGGGTCTGAGCACCTCACGGCGACCCCTGCCAAATCAGCAAAAACTAGAAAATGGGGAAGAGGGACGGATAGGCGGAGGGAGAAGAAATGGTTGACTCGGCTCAGTGTGACTGAGTAGGAAGGGGAAGGACATGAGAAGAAGGAAGCTGTGACCAACAAAGGGGAAAAAGGGCCAAATTCCAGGAAAAAAACGACACTTTGATAAATCCCTTTAACTGCTTTCTGGCTGGCGGCACCACCTGAGGGCTCCACGAGCAGGGCCCACGCACCGCACCGCGGTGAGGGCTGGCGGAGCAGAGCAGGAAAGCGCAGCTTGCAGGAACGCGAGGCTCCGTCAGCCTCACGGGAATATTACAGATTTTAATAAAAAATCTCATTTCACAGAGTAACACTAAGATCACAGAGGAGCCTCCGCTTCACGCCTTTCCTCCTGCCCGGGGGACCGGGGCGCAGAGGGTCGCACAGCCCCGGCCGGTGGCAGCGGGCGGGAGGCCCCAGGGCAGGGCCGAGGCCCGAGGCCGCCCCGCGGG